GGGAAACAAGGAAACGTTTTCTGAAACTAGTAACAGAAACTTGCTTCCCTTGGGTCAGAGCGCTACCTTTAGCCTTGACCCTGGCACAAATCAGTGCAAAACGTAGGGAGGCATAGAGTTATTTCCCTATGAGTTGCTGTTCAGAATGCCTTATCCAAGTATACTCCGACCAGGAGGAAAGTAGGAAATAAGTGATATTTAAGTATATATAGTATATATATAATATACTAAGTATATAAGATATGTAAGTGGGCAATTCATTGTCTGTCATCAAATCTCTTTGGCAGGAGGCCGGTTGGCACAAACCTTAACCTCAGGCTTTGCGGGGCACAGCATTCAGCTGGGGATCGGATCCCGGCAAAGACAGGAACGGATCACTGCTCCTACAAGGAACGGACATTTCCACTACAGAGACTGCATGAAAACGGCAGAGCGAGGAGGGGCAGACCATAACCACACCCTTGTCAGCTCATTTTCGTTTGAACAGTGACTTCTGTATGTGAAGATTTAACAGCAGCTTTGTGTGAATTGGGCGCTGAGATGATCCCTCGAACGACGGGAGGTGGATCAGCACAGCTACTGCATTCCAGTGGTCTGCCTAGAACAATAAATACCGCCTGAGTTTGCTGCCATAGTTACAGGCTTTGTTATTTCTCCTTCAGAGTTGTTGGAAGGATCTTCAACGCTACTGAAGGCCGACTGCTTCTAGGCCTCCCGTGAAGACCATTTTTTAGGTAGAGGCAGAAGTGTCACCCCACAGGTGGACACAAAGTTGCCTTCCTTATTCATAACAGCGCCACTTTCACAACGTGATCCAGATTTCATATTTAAATTAGTGTAGCACAAGCATTTAACCAAAGCTCTATGATTCTGTCACTTCAAAAAACAAACAAACAAAAACAAACAAACAAAAAAAAACAGATGCATAGCTTAATTGCAAGTTATTAGGCTCGATTAACAGCTGGGAATTTGGCCTGCTATACAAAGCAACTAAAATAAATAGTAAATGATCCCATCTAGTCTTGATTTCTCTGCCCTTATGGAAATCTGGGTTACCATTTTTCTTTTTCTTTGAGTGCATCTTCTGCAGCATTTTCTTTTCCACTGCTTCTATCACTTTCAGCAGCAATTTGCTAGGCTGTACTGCAGAATAACTCCCCTCTAATGTAAGGCAAAAGACACTGAATTTCAGGAAGGTTATGTAGCTTAGATAAAGCAAACAGCACATTAATGAAGAGCAGGTCGACAGGAATCAGCTTTCACGCATGAAGGCTGCATAATGAAATCCATCAGAAGACAGTTACAGATAGTGAAAAGAGTTTTTGCATGTTTGTGTTAAATGAAGCTGCATGTCCTCCACCTTTTTTTTTTTTTTTTTTTTTTTTTAAATTATATCAAGGACATACAGGTTAGGATTCGAATGAACAGCATTTTTCTGAAAGGGAACCTTCCGTCTTGCTGATGTGCAGATTTGTGGTAATTCATACAGAAACCCTCCTTCTCCCTACACGCAGGGTAGAAACTGGGATGGCTGCATCCTTCCCAATGCAAGTACGTCCCAACACGGGCGGTCCCACCCCAGCTCCCACCAAGAAATTTGCCCCAGAAGCTACCATACAAAGCCCAGGGCGGCCACACAGACCACCTCCTGGCACACTTGAGCATCGATGTTGAAGTGACAGCAGTCTGTGGCTCTGGTCTCTGAAAGTAGGCACAGCAGTGTCTAAAGCAGTTGCTTCAGAGCCAAGTGACTGTTGCTGTTGGAAGAGCTGCCTTGTGTGCTGTGAGATTCTGGACACTCACAAGGTTGTGTGTGCCCAGTTTTCTTCTGCTTGTGGCTTCCTGCAGCCTCCTACAGGTTCAGAAAGCACCAGGAAAAGTCCCTGAGGCCACTGAGATGTGCAGTGATCCATGCAACAGCCCACACCTCATACTTCATGTCCCAGAAATACCTGGCAACAGGGGCAAGGCACTATAGTATTGCAGTGCCTTCAGCTAGGGTTGCTCACAGATCACCACTCTGCACCAAAAAGGGAGATAAACAATTTGAGTACATCAAGCTAAAGCCTTAACAACCACATGGCCTTGTATCAGTTTAATAAAGTGGGTTGCATACCTGCTTACATGAAACTTGATGCAATCACTCCCCAGGCTGCAGAACACAGTCCTCTGATCCGTAACCAAAAAGCATTCTGGAGCACAGGTAGCTCACAGTGGCTTCTGTCCTTTCCTGACAGCTTGGGCAGAAATCTGACTGCTAGGCTAATGCTACTTTCTGAGGAGCCTTTAGCCCTTTATCATACACACCAACTCACATTTCACTTTCCAGGAGCCTGATGCCTTGTAAGAGCAAAGATAGTCTTTGCAGACCAGTTTTCTGCTCTGCAGTGCCTTGCTTGCTACCAGTCAGATCTTGGTCCATCCCCACATCACCATAATGAGCAGTTTATAATAACAGAATTATTTGAAACAGAAACCATATAATAACATTGCAGAGACGTATCCCACTGTAGTCCTCAGTACTAAAAAAAGCTAGCATTTAACACAATATCAATACCCCAGGCCAGTACTTACTGCTTTAATTGGCATAGATACTAAAACATTATAAAGCACTGGCTATGCTGATGTTGCTGCACACCCTTGTCCTTGTTCTTGCCCTGAACACTCAGCTCTGAACTGTACTAGGTTACAGGTCAATTTCTGTTCTCTCTAAGCTGTAGGCATGAGCACACTGGAAGAAATTTACACAAGGCCAAGCTCCTTGGAGCCTATCTGAGAACTGTTACTAGTACAAAAGCCAGTGATGAAGCCTGGAGTTGTTGTAGCTTCACTTGTAACTACAACCCAGGATGGCACCATATGTTCGCGTTGTCATGGATAAGAGCAGATGAGCCCTGTGACAGTCCCTCTTCCTTTTCTGCACTGCATGTGTTTTTTTCCCCCCTTCTATAAAAGGGGTAGCATCAAAAATGATCACTGGTATGCAGGTAATACCTTACTGTAGATAAGGAAAGCATCCTAATGCGCTAGAAAATGAGAAGCAGGCAAGCATAACACCTTTGATAAAAACTCCAAGAGATGGTATGACTCATACTCCTTAAAAGACATGGAACACATAGAAATAAAAATAATTTAAAAAAAAAATCACTCCTCACATAGATGGTTTTATACAGCAGGGGCCTAATAACGAAGCCATCCCAGTAGGACCACTGGCACAGGACTGAGTATCACAAAGTCTGTTATTGACAGCAGGGGATCCCATACAGGAAATCAGTTTGCTTTCCGGTGACTGTTCTCAAAGTCAAGGGACAACACTATTCTCTATTGTACTGAAAAGCAGTCAAGATAAATAGAAGGTAGCACAAACACTTGTAGTAAATACAGCCAAATGACACAAGTGTAAGGAAAAGAATTCCTCATCCTCCCTGATACTTAGAACCCAAAACAGTGATAACAGCGCCTGCTCTTTCAGCTCACAGCCACATAGAAATTAAATTAGTAATACTACAGCTAGGTTTATCCCTCTGAGATGCAGCTCTGGCTTAAGCTTTGCCATCCCAGAAAAAAAATTTAGGCCTTGAAATAACTGTGACCCTGGATGCCTCCAGATGCAGAAGTTAAGAAAAGCGAGGAGCACTGTGCCAGCACACCTTGCTTTGCTGCAAAGACTTTCTACAGGCTGGTGAGCTTTGTTTCAACCTGTGGTGGCTTCTGCCCACACCACCTCCTATGGGATGCAAAGATACACAGCAGCAGCACAGCACCAGCAGTAAGTTTGCAGCTAAAGAAAGAGGCGGGAATCCGTCAGCTTTGACGCAGTCCCAAGAAATTGGTCCTAGTTGTAATACTCATCACCAGAAAGGGACTTTTTCCCCTCCCTTCTAAACATTCTATATTTATCCCTGCTCTCTTGGTCAGGCATCTGCTGTGGAAAAAATCTCTGCACTGTAACTAGCCTGTAACTAAAGTATTGCAAGAACAAGTGCAATCTAGCTTCCTAAAGGCAAGGTATCTGCTTCAGGACAGAAACAGAACTGTTTGAAAACAGATGTAGGAAGTCTGTTTTTACTTCTTTGCAATACTGATAACAACTGGCAGACGCTGGACAGACTGCGTTATTACACTTATATACATTCTTCAAAGCTGAAAACATTATCCCTAACATCAGCGAATGCTCAGCTAAATCCGACCTGTTGCCAATGCAGAGACGCTCAGCAAAGACCATGGCTTTTGAAGGCTCTACAGAAAAACTTAAACAGAAACAGCAAATGATATGAAGACAACACATTCGGCCTGAGTCTTAAAGATGAAGCACTGTCTAAGCTTACTATTAACCTGCATGTTTTGGGACAGTAGAGGAAAGCCTTTGCCACAGTGAAAAAGATGACAAGTGGTGTTTTCCAGGGGTCGGTGAGAAGGTCTCAGCCTGTTTTCCTTAAGAATCACCAGCAAACATTTCCCCTCTGAAAAAGAAGACATCAATGCATAGATCTGGCAAAATCCAAACACTAGCTCCGTAGACATTATTTTTGAGAAGACTACATATATAAATTAGTTAATGTGAACTTGGAACTGGAATTCAATTAGAAAAAAAATGGTATTATAGTATCACCCTTTCCTCAGAGATGCACAAAGCAAAAGCAGACAAAGCCTAGAATGTATTTAATCAGCAATTCACTTTGTCTTATCTAAGTAGGATTTAATAGTTTATCCACACTTAAAACAAAACAAACAAAAAAAACCCACGACCCTTTCTTACTCTCAGCACTGAATACAGTAATAGTCACTGGGATAGATACACAGAAACATAGCAAGAGAAAGCTTGGCTAGCCCCCCAAGCCCGCCAAAATAACCTGACCAACAAATAAGACAAATCTATTTGGCAGAAGGATTTGGTTCTCTTTTTGGTACTTTCTTTTAACTTCAAAAAAAAAGAAAGAAAAAGAAAAAAAAAAGAAAAACAGATGTATAGGAATCAAGAAGAATCAAGCTCAACATAGTCACAAAAAATAAATGATGTATTTTATCTCCATAGATCAAAACTATAACAAACAAGACAATTGTATCAAAGTTCAGTGTCCAGAATTTTTTCCGTAATACAAAAAAAGATATTGCAATTACTTTACTGCTCAAGAATTTCCTTGTTCAAGCTGCTGAATTCTTCTCTCATTGAAGTTTTGTCAGTAACTTTCTTTAAACTACAACGTACAAAGAATTCTTTATCGCCCTCATCTTTTCTAAAGCTCTTCTTTTGTTCTAGAGAGTTTTGTAGCATGCTCCTCTATAAATTTACTCAGATGCTCTAGATCTCTGTCACCGCCTTCAAATTTAATAGGATTGTTCTTCTTGTCCCTTGGAGCAAAGTAGATGGTAGGGAATCCTTCCACTTTGTAGTGATCATTTGTCACATCGTTGGCAGTCGCATCCATCTTGGCTATGACTAGATTTTTCTCATGCTTGTATTTTTTGCCTAGCTCAGCATACACCGGTTCTAGTTTCTTGCAGTGTCCACACCACGGGGCATAGAACTCTATGAGAACATCACTCTTTGGATCCATTACTACGGCATCAAAAGTTTTACCCACTACTACTTTCACAGGCCCTTTGTTATTTTTTGGCACCGGCTGCGACTTCACAATAGGCTTCAGTTTTCCTAGGAGAAAGGATAACACACACCATTGTTAACTACAGTAAGAGCAACCGTCGTATTTCCACTATGAAAAACAGGGTAAGAATACATCTTCACACCAAAGAAAAGCACTGCACTAGTCATCAATTTCACCTCTGCAGGAAACACTGCCTAGCTTGCTGATGACATTTAGCACAGCGATCTCGTGAAGCAGGGACAAGTTGTTTCACAGCACCCTCGAAGCTTTCTCCCTCTGCTCACAAGTATCCAGCCATAATGTGCTTGAAAGGGATTTATATATATTACACTTGCCACGAATGCCAACAATCACCTGGCACTTCAAAGCTGCGAGAACATTTTAGGCTTACCAAACACATCAGCTGTTAAAATATTGCTAGATGCCACCGCACAGCTTAAACAGCAAAGTTCGTTAACAATAAAAAGGGAGGAGGGGGAAGGCAATGAACACCCAGTAAGATTTAAGTCATAAAGCATTATAAGACTTCACATATGATTTCACTGCAGCCATGAATTTCATGTGAATATCAGAAGAATATCCACTGAAGGAAAAAGCGAAGCAAATGGCTCTTTAGAAAGAAAAGAAAGAAAAAAAGTAAAAGGAAAACAATCCTTTACCTTTTTTGAATGCCAGCACAAACTGTCTGAGGGCATCAGAGTCAAACTCTTCTGGCTCCATGGCATATTTCTTGCCACCTTCATCCAGAATGGCAACATTTACATCCTCTCCACTCTCAAGCAGACCTAGATCTTTTATTTCAGAAGAATAATCCTCCTCATCAGAAACAGCAAACACATACTCAGGGAAGTCCTTGGCTACCTCTAGGACTTTGCCTCTCCAGTACTGGGTAGCTGAAGAACCAGAATGCAGCAGGATTAGTAATTTCTAGTTACTTATTACTCATTTCCTTTTAAAACTGATGAACAGGGAACTTGACTTACCAACACGATAGTCAAAACTGAAGTCAACAGTGTAATAGACAACCACTAGGGGACGCTTCGCATATCTTTTAGCATCATTGGAAGGCTTGCGATGGCCAACTAGAGGCAAAGCATGTTTCACTACGTGCTCTTTGATCTCTGATCCATCTGTAGAATACTGCTTCAAAAAAAACGGGGACAAGACATCATGTAAGTGCTGATTCTGTTACACAGTACTGGAAACCAGCATCGGTGCACACATGAATAAGGAAGGGATACGTTATAAGCAATGCCTGCATCATATTCTCACTCACTTTAAGATCCAAAACATACATCTTGGATTCATGCTTTGATTGAAACTTTTCCGGCTGCATGACAACCAGCTTTCCAGGAGATACTTTCAATAGCTTTGCAATCTCGTTGCTGAAGGTGTGATGGAACTTGTAATCTTCTCTTAAACTGTTAGCTAAAAGATTAAAATTAAGGAGAATGAAAAGTCACCAAGAACCGAATTGATGGCTTTCAACCTAAATCTTGTTACTGCAAGGACAGTCACTCACGCAGGCATGGAACAACTCTGGGCCTTAGAGAACACCTCTCGCCACCAAACAGAGTGAGAAAACACACTTTGAGAAGCACTAGTTGAATGCTATTCAACTGCTTATCTACTTGATGGTTTAGAATAAGTATTTAAAAGTACTGAACAGCTTCCAAAACACACAGTGAAGCAGCTGCTTTTTTCAGTCACCTATTCTAGGCTTCCCTCCAAATAAGAGTAGAGCTGGAAAGGAACTCTGGAAGGCACCCAATCAATCCATTTCTTTCGGGGCTACCTGGGAGACAGTTTTGTGTCTTTCCATGCTGGAGCATCCAGATGAAAACAACGTCAGAAGCAAGCAACCACAGAAAGAGAATTTGCCCTTACTACTCTGAATGATCAGACAGAAAGCAAGGCTGCATGCAGTTCAATCACATGAGACACAGACATTGATTAGAGGGCAGTTCCAGTGCTTTTCTCTGGAAGCACACACCAGTGACACGTGAAAGAGCGCTTTACCTGACCAACAATTTTTAAGAATAAGCACTGCCAAGATAAAGTCATTCAGAGATAAATAATGATCTTTCCTTCAAGTTCCCCCAGCCTGAACAAGTTCAGCAGAGTCTAGCCTTTGGAATGGTCAAGTATAAAACTAGCAAAATCATATGGTATACCTAGCAAGACATTTTGATCTGCTCTTCAGCAGAGTGTTCCCATCTCTCTAGGTCACATATTTTTGGAGACCCCACATCAAGAGTATATTATTCCCTGTGACTTACTTACTGTGACTTCAGTTACATGCACAAGATCTAGTGCGAGGGCTTTTCCCCCTTCAGTAGAAGTGGAATATCACCCTAGAGTCTCTCTCTTCCCTTTTTAAACTCCCTGAATTCAGAGAATAAATAAGGGAACTTCCCCTGCCCAAAGCCTTGAGCAACAAGGCTCAACAAATCACACTTCTAGTATTTTAAACCATGCATTACCTGCTTCCTGATAGAGCTGATAGGCTTCATCAGTTTCTCCACTAAAAACACCAATGATAATGACATCATCTCCATCCTTCAGAAATTCCTGTACCTGCTTCATAGCCTGAATCTGCTTAGATGGAGGACCAGCCTGTTCAATCATGTAGTCAACAATACCTGTTAGACAAACCCACATCCAAGAAGTTGCATAAATATTTATTGAACTGAAAGGTTCAGGCACTTCCTCTACAGAAAAACATAATAGTATATTTCACATTGACACCTTCATTTCTGTGCAATCTTTGCAAAATAACCAACAAAGTGATCAAGAAAATGGTCATAGTCTTCAAGTGCTCCAGTTCTGGGTATTCTCTTTTAGGTCGGTTTCAGGAATTCCAGGTATGTCAGCTGACCTTTCAAGTAACCCACCTTTCTGAAATTTTAGATCCTTCACCATCTCATGACCCCGCTATGAGGCAGTATTCCACTTGGTTATTCCTAATGTTTCTGCAAGCTAGTATTGATACAAGCTAGTATGAACACTTCACCAGCCCTTATAGGGCACTCAAGTGCAACTAATGGCTGCCCATTTAGTCCTACCGCTTGCTTGCATATTTAAATTATTTTTATATTAAAGGAGCTTGTTAAGGAGCATGGGGTGATGTTACAGAGATGACACAGCTTTATACTGATGGGATATGAGGGTACAAGACCATGTTTTTTCACCTTCCCCATGCTACTCTTATGGACACGTGTGTATGCTCTACATTTGTAGTCAAGCCTTTAAGAAGACGAAGAGTCACAGTACCGTATTTCTCTCGTGGACCGCTGTAGTCATAAGGTTTGCCTTTGCGAAAGATTTTCAGAGTTGGATAGCCAGTAACATCAAACTTCTTTGCAAGCTCAGTCTCAGCAGTGGCATCGACCTTAGCCAGAGGAATGGGAGGTGTGCGCTTGCTGAGCTCTTGGGCGGCCTTCTCATATTCTGGAGCAAGCCTTTTGCAGTGCCCACACCTAAGGAAGTTGGAGGGTGGAGGGCAGTTTTAATAAGCCAGGTCCTGCTAGCTACCTTCTACCTCTGCACTGGATAAGCTGCAAGCCTTTTCAGAAGATTCAGAAGAGGCATAATAGCAAAACAGCTTCACCAAGTGTATTCAGAACAGGTGTGCTAGGAAAGCAGAAGCAACTGCCTTCTTGCTTACCATGGAGCATAGAATTCCACCAGAATTATGTCAGCATCTTTCACAACATCGTCAAAATTATCCTGGGTCAATACAAGAGTAGCTTCTGGTGGAGGGGTCCAACTGGGGTCAGAAATCTCCTTGACTTTGGCTACAATTGCTGAAAAACAGTTCAATAGCTCAGTTACAAAGTTTGCACTATCATTTCTGTAGTATATCAAATGCAACAATAGATATCATATTATTACATTAATTATTTAGAAATTATGACACGAATTTCATTCTCAGCGGACAGAAAAGGCAATTTTTCCTTCTGACTGTAATGAAGCTGGACACATTCATTAAGTGAGAAATATCTGGTTTTACATCCACTGACAATTTACAGACTTACTGTTTCCTACAGGTCGATCCCTCAAAAAGCACAATACCTCCTACTGTAATCAAGCCGTTATTCAGGAAGTCTTCCACGACTAAGAGAACCACCCACTACCAACACTGTCCCCGAACACACAGGCTTTAGAAGATTGGGCAAAATTTCAGCCTTCATAATATTATTCTACTTCACATAATGGAACTTGAAATCCAAGTCCCTCCATAATAATTCCTTCAAGCAGCAAGATCATACACTTCCTTGCTTTGTTACAAAGAACTGCAAGGACCAGTTCTTACCATCTTCTGTTCGAGAGCCATCGTAGTCAACAGGCTGGCCTTTTTTCAGGATTTTAATGGTTGGGTACCCACTGACATCAAAACGACTTGCTAGCACAGTGGCTGCAGTAGCATCAATTTTGGCAACTGGAATAGGAGGGTCATTTTCCTTCAGGGTTTTGGCTATCTTTTCATACTCAGGAGCAAACTGCTTGCAGTGCCCACACCTGTCAAAGGAATACATATATAGATATACAAATGCAAGACAGACAAAGAGGAGTTTTTTTGCTACTCTGCATTTCCAGAAGGCCTTCTGCCAGATGTTCACATCATCAACCTAACATTATTTGTCTTGCTATATTTTCAGATCTGGGAAGGGGGGAGGAGGGTGGGAAGAGGGATAGGGAGGAATGATGGTGGTGTGAGGGCGAGAAAAACTACAGCCAGGTACTGTTTGTACAAACCCCAACCTTTTATTTTTCCACTCTCCATTCTAAGTTTCAAAGCCCTATAAAAAAAATTTAGTAATTACTTTTACAAAGTTGCAAACCTTGTACTGTGCTTCTCCTCCCTGCCCCCAGATACCATCTCACTCAAGACTTCAGCTTCTCCCTAGTTTGGGTTCATCTTCTCTACATGGTATCCTAAATTCAAACTAAAGAGAAAAATGAACCAGACATTAATTGTGCCTTAATGAATCCTCACCTCACACACACTCCAGTATCAGAGCACCTGGTCTACTCAGAACTCCCTGGGAAGAGCAGAAGCTACTGCTGAAGAAGCTGGCACGACAGGGCCAGTATACAAAGCATACAGAGAAGTGAACAGACTTTGATAAACTGGAGACAAAGGAAAATAAAGATAGAAACTAGTATGTAACAGCCTGTATTCTTTAGTCTCTCAATAGGCAGGAGGGAACGTAGAGGAAAAAAAAGAAAATACACTAGTTTGTGGTTGTTACACGTCCTTATGCTATGCTTCATGTTCAGTTTTCATGGTAGCAAACTACAACTACCAAACAGGGGTAGAGTCCTGCATGATGAGACTGGTATTAATTAAAAGCCAAATCTACTTCAAGCAAGAAATATTCCCCCCTCTTCCACTGAAACACTAGCACAAAATAATCACCTTGACTGCAAACATTTACTCTTGCTTTTCCCTTTAATAATCCTATTACTTTTGCCCATGAGAATGCAAGGGGAGATGCATCCTGCCTAAAGATCTTTGTATCCATGACAGTGCCCCATACTACTCTGTTGTTACTCAGTGCACACCAGTACAACAGCAGCGCACAAGGCACTATTAAAACTAGTAATACGAGGCAGCAATGTCCTCACATCATAACATCCTTCCAACAAAGACACAGATTCCAACTGCTGAAGGACAACTTCCTAACTAGGGAAGCTTTCTCCATTTATATGAGTGCACAAGTTCTTGGTACGCCAATGGGACAAGAGAGCAAGCTTGTAAAGTCACATCACATGGCCTTTCTGGGGCTCTCTGAGATAATCTCTCCTCTCCAACAGGTACAGAGCAGAGCCAGAGCCAGGACAGTGCTGCCCCTGCCGCAGGAGCCCTCAGCACAAACGATGCAAGTCTTCTCCAACCTTGGTGATTCTATGACTGAATGACCTCTATGACACTTGAGGTGACAGACAAGTGCTCTTATGGTACAGGAGCAATGAGACTTCCAGAACCATTTCCTGCCCTGGACAACATCACAGTACAGCACTACTCCTATACAAGTCTTTAAAACCAGTCATGATCCAAATATCTGCTTTTTCACATTATCCCACTGCTGTGTTAAAAATGCCATCAAGAATTTTTCACTCCTTAAAACCACTCCAATAAAGGCAACTGGGAAAAAAAGTAGAAACAAGCAACTATTTCTACCTCAAAAATCAACAACCTCCCAAGCATGCTTTCTAGGATTGCACATTGCCAAAGAAGCTCCTGGCACCCATCTCACACTGCACTTAAGGAGGTATAACAGGCTGCAAACCCACCATGGTGCGTAGAACTCCAGGAGCACAGTGTCCTTGTCTGCAGTAAAGCTGTCAAAGTTAGCATCATTCAAAACTAACACACCATTTTCTTCTTTAACTTCAGAATCATCATCATCATCTTCTTCTTCTTCATCATCAACTTCTTGCATAACAGATTCTAGAAAAGTAAAAATGTAAAAAAAAAAAACAATAACCGGTACAGATTAGGTTGTGTGAAGTTTAATGTTAAAATAAGTCTACCAACTTAGCAACAGATTAAGTATACCCCATAGTTAGAAAAAAGAAAGTATCAAAACAGGTTAATTCCTCCTTCACATTTGACAGCTGCCCAGGTTTGCAAAGTAACTGGACTCAGGTGTTTGACCTGCCCCATTTCATTTCCACACATGCTCCCTCCGTTAGCTTCACCAAAGTCTCAGTACATATTTTGCTCTTCAAAGCAAGTTAAAAGAGACACAGTGAGAATTAATGTATTCCAACCTATGCAGCACTTGCTACTAAAGTATGCTGGTGTCTTCCTGAATCATGGGAAAGCAGGGCACCAGATACGCTTCCTTGGGCAAGACGGGCACAGCTGATATCCAATTTCAGACTTGTTGAGCGAGTGCAGGATCACAGCAACATCACACAGCACCCCAAAAATCCTACTCAACATATGTGGAGATGTGAGGCGCCCTTTGGAAACAAACAGAGTCAGAACTGCCCTCAGGAACTTCAGGGGAAGCCTCTGGCTTAAGACCACCAATCCAAAACAGGCCTTTGGAGAAGACACTTGCTAAATTAGAGAAGCAGGGGTTACACATGATATCTGGTGCCAAGACATACCAACCAGCCCTGACTTGGAAGTTGGGACTGTTTCTCTAACATTTGATTATCCACGTCTTCTAAAGATTTTTGTCAAAACTTCTATAATTCTAGCAAAATCTTACTGAATGGTTCTAAGGAAATTTCTGTCAGAGGACAAGTGATGAGAATACCTTATCCCCAATATAAACCATACGTCATTGAAACTAAGGACCTTTTAACCACTGTAAGCTCCAGGATTAAAAGAAGTACAATGAAAGTTGAAGTTTCCTTGTTCAAAACAGTATATTATATACATTTTAGTTGGCTTTTGACTAAGTTGACATGACTGACAGCAGTAGGCAGTAGACAGTGTACATGCAGTTTACTTGTCCAGGACAAGAATGCTGAAAATACTTCTGACTTCACCTGAAATTTGAAATGCAAGCGTTAGAAGCATGTAATATCCACTGGGAAGGCACAAGCAATAAAAAAGAATTCCAAGCCTATTCTCAGGCCAAGAGCAAACCATACCAACAAGCTCACCACAGGCACCACAGACACCAAACATCACATATTGTTAGACAGCAGCAACCATTTTTCCATGAAAAAAAAAGATAATAAGTGTGTAAGCTCTCATAAGCTCTCACACAACAATGCACTCGTGCAGAAGACATGCTTATTTTAATTTGAGTGCAACTCTGCGTGATACTAAAATATTCATGTCTGATGAGGTGAGAGATCACAGGGGATCATTTCTCACACAACAGAAGTCGCTTGGATCAAGTTTCTCAGCAACTACTATTGCTTTATCTGATTGAAGCTAAACTTTAAAACTGGACAACAGCTTCTCTGTTGCTGCATCAGAACAGTTGCAGGAAAGGATTAAGCTTCCAGGGAGAACTACCAGGGCATTCATTTACCATGGTGAAAAAGGCAGTTTTTCAGGGGGTTCAGCAGTCACAACTTCTACTAACAGTGCTCCATGGTTCTGAGGGATGTTTCACAACAGGATGTTCAAGGTTGGTCTGTGCCTGAACTCCCTTCCAGAGAGCTGTACCACGCCAGTTGCTTGAAAACATGTCAGACTTGATTTTCACTGACAAAAAAAGTCTGAGCAAAATTTGTCAGTCAATTTTGCTCATGCAGCTCTGATTCTAACCACCAGGCTGCTACTCTTGTTTCTGCTCAAAATGCTAACCTTCCTTCCCTGATGAGAAGGCACACCGCCATAGCGGCACCATATGCTCAGAGTACGGAAAAGCAACAAAGATTCTGCACAGCTGAAGGGCTAAACCACAAGATCCAATATATGCCGCTGAAGTAATTTTGTATCTTTCACTGGAAGTAGCTGTGTGTCTGCCAACACCAGTTTTTTTTTTGACAGGGATGTATTTAGATCGCTGCACAAACATACCCAAGCACTTGCTCCACCCAAAGGAAGGAGGTATGGAAAAGCAGGACTCCAGTCTGCCCCTTGCTGAAGCAGAGCACCTCTATCTGGGATGCCCACGAACTGTGGAATCCACAACTCCACCAACTCCTACAGCCACTTGAGCTACCTCTAATACATCAGGGCTGAAGCTTTTCATGAACTACCTGGGAGATAAGGGGAGCTGGGGCACCCTTCATTTATTCAGCATTACTGATTTATATTTTTTAGGAGAGCTGTCACAGAATGAGCAACTGACACCTGATACGGCAGAAGTAGTGTGATAATATTTGTATAACAGAGCTCACGAAAACAAAGCAGCTGCATGCAACGAAGTATTTTTGTTTCTTGAAGCTATATGCAAAGGAAATGGTCAAAGCAATGAAGCAAGAGCTTTGCTAGAACCTGTCTTCCAGTAAAATTCCAACAAAATACTCTCAGAAATCTCTACACAAGTACGTCATTTAAAAATAAATATAGTAAAGCTGACCCTTGTTTTAAAACTTCACATACGTGGTGCTGACTGGCAGGCCTCTCAGGATGATGGGTTACTCTGAAACTAGCCCATAAGCTTGGCTTCACCGAGCTTTTCAACACTTACTGGAAATCTGGCCTAGCCATTTTTTTCCTCGAGTGAAATGGATCCTGTACGAAAGCCAGTGAAGTTTAGATGCAGCTCGTTCAGATTCCGCCCGCGTTTCCTTTAAGAAGGGCATTACAGCATCTCCCAGCCTGAGCACAGCGAGGTGGCCTCCATCTCCCGAAGACACGAGTGAAGATAAGGCACACGTCGCCAGGTGCTTCAAATGGCCATTTCACAAACGCAGCCTCCATCTTTCCTGCGGCACACCGACCGCACGCTCCCTTCCTTCTCCTCCACGTGCGGAGGACTAGCGGCCACGACCTGCCCCCCACCAGCTCCAGCCTCGCCTTTCTCTCAGCATATTCACCGTCCCAGCCCACGTTCCGCCCCAACATCACCGCACAACAAGCTCGGCTTCACGTCAGTTTCGGATCGATCGCCTCACCGACTGACCCCGCACCCACTGATCGCGGCCCCAACTCGCCCGGCGGCCTCCGCCCTTCCCAGCTCCCGCCGCCCGCTCACCTTCGCCGTCCTCCTGCGCCATCAGCACGGCCAGCTGCGCCGTCCCCAGCAGCAGCAGCAGCAGCACCCACAGTCCGCGCCGCCTCATCTCGCCGCCGCACAGCGAAACAACGCAACCCCGCTCCGACCCCCCGCGACTCGGAGTCGACCGCAGCCTCCCCGTCCGGCCGAGCGCCTGCTCTGAGTTGCCGCCTCCTCATTGGCCGCCCGCGGGCCGCCAACCGCCGGCCGCCACGAGCAGCGGGCGCGGCCGCGCTCCGAGCGGCGACGGGGGAGGGCGGAGCTTCGCGGCGCCGGGACGCAACACCGACGGTCGGGATTGGCGGGAACCGCAGGGGGCGGAAGTGAGGGAGGGGAGGAGAGGAGAGCGGTGTCGGCCTGTGAGGGCGCGCCGCGTGCTGTGTGCGGTGTGAGCCCCCGCCCCGCCTGAGGAGAGAAGGGCGGCGGCGCAGCTGGGCGGTCGGCTTGTCGATCGGAGCTGCTTGGAGTTATTTAGCAATTGTTTTTTCACGCTCTGAGCTTCTGATCCTTGGGCAGGTGGCGTATAAGGCAGGCTAGGTTCGGTATGTTGTAAAACATTTAAGTACGATGTGATGAAAAATTGTCTTCAGCAACTCGGAGCGCGAGCTTGTAACGTGGAAAGCGCGGTGTTAGGGACCGAGGAGGTGTTGTGTCACTGAAGGACTGCGGGTGCATCTGGGTCGTCGTTCAGCTCTGTCTGAGAAAGGAAGTTAACAGTTGCTTTGTGCTTCATCCATCGCTTACAGCGCAGGGCTCTGCTGACCTCCATCCGGCAGCCAGACGGGTCTCAGAAATGCTGCAGGCTGATGCAGAAGCAACTTTTCAAATTATCGGTGAATTGCCACAGTCAGAGGGGTCTGATGTGAGACCTGCTCCGAAAAGGTGTTTGGGTCCCGCTGATTGTGGTGTTTATAAAAGTAAGCGACTTGCTGAAATTTTGTGTTCTTAACATAGGTATGCGGTAATATGATAGATTGGGCAGTGTTTTGTAAGAATAACTCAGATAATAGGAAGTCATTATCTAGAGGATGCTTAGTGTTTGGTTAACACAGCGTTGGACTGAATGCTGTGTTTCTGTGTCAGGTGACACAGGTGGTCGTGGAGCTAATCACTGTACGTACGTAGTACTGCAAATTCTATGGGATGCTGTCTTTGATATTTGTGGAAGGAACATGCAGCAGGAAATGGCAAAGAAGAAAATGCCAGTATTCTTCTCCAGAAGTCCTGAAAATTGACAAACTAATCTACATCAATCTAGCTTCTGCTGTTCAGTTCTACTGCAATCTCAAAAATGGATCTGAACCTACTTGGCTTTTCACAGCCTGATAAGAGTGGCGACTTACGAGGATACTGAGTAATTACAGCAGTCTCATTTATGTGGTAGCTGCTTTAAGTCGTTATAATTCTTAATATCACAGGGTGGCACTGATACTGGCCTGAATGGAGGTGCAAGAAATTATGTTACTGCTTTTGAATGTGAAGGCTGCTCTGAAAGTAATGCCTCCTGTGTTATGTTGGGCTGCTACATCAGGGTGGATATTAGGGCAGTAGAGCTTGAACCTTCCCTCCGATGTTCTGTTACATTTTGTTGCTGTGTGATAGAGGGCAGTAGAGAAGCATTGTAACAAAACGATGTCTGGTATGGAAGCATGTATGAAGCAAAGATGTGTAATTGTGTTTCTCCATGCAGAAAAATGTCACCCATTGATATCTGTGGATGCTAGCTGAACATTTATGGAGGCCAGACAGTGAATATTAGCACAATGAGGCAGTAGGTGATGCGCTTCAGCAGTAGCAAGAGCGGGTCACCTTTGCTGGTTCAGATTTTTATGAGCGCAGCATGCAGGCTTTTGTTCACTGCTGCTGAAAATGCATAGCTAGTGGTGGTGACTATGCTGAAAACTACTGTAACTGAAAGTTTGCTCTATCAAATATTGTTATCATGCTCTTTCTATCTGTAGGAGTTTCCGTGGAAATAAATAGGAGGCATTACTTTTGCAGTGGCCTATGTACAGATTTTGTACTTGAGTGCTGTAGCAAATAGCTGATTGTTCTCAAAGAATTGGAAAAATCCTTGTAATACCATGCATGCAACTGAAGTACAGGGCCAGTGAACTACTGTGTTGGACCGTGAGGCACAGCATTTTCAGTAGGACTGTGAAGGACCAGTTTCTCTTCCTGTGCTTTTTCTGAATAAAGTATTTGTTCCTATGGCGTGAGTTGAAGGTTTTGTTAATGCTACTCACTGGCAGTCTGAACCATTGTTCAAAATGCTGCAGATACACACCTGACATTGCAATATGTGCATAGTTCTGAATCACTTTGGGGGAATGCTCTCAAAACTTGTTTTAAAAAAAAAAAAAAAAAACAAAAAAAAAAAAAACAAAACAACCACACACGCACACAAAACAACTGGTTGAGTTGTAAAACCTCACTTATTTGATCATAGAATGGCTTGAGTTGGAAGGGTCCTCAGAGACCGTCTAGTTCCAAACTGTGAGCAGGGTTGCCAGCCACCAGATCAGGTTGCCCTGGGCCTCATCCAACCTGACCTGGAATGCTTCCAGGAATGGGGCATCACATCCTCTCTGCACAGCCTGTTCCAGCAATTCACTGCACTCCTAATGAAAAATTTCCCCTGACATCTAATCTAAATCTCCTCTCCTTTAGTTAAAAGCCATTCCCCCCTGTCCTATCGCTATCTTCCTGAGTAACAAGTCAATTTCCTTCCTGTTTATAGGCTCCCAGCTTGTCTTCATAGGAGAGGTGCTCCAGTCCTGTGATCATCCTTGTAGCCCTACTCTGGACCCATTCTAAAAGCTCTACATCTTTCTTGTGCTGGGGCCCCCTGACCTGGACACAGTACTCCAGAGGGGGGGTCTCATGAGGGCAGAATAGAGAGGGGTAATTGTCTCCCCTTCTCTGCTGGCCTTCCTTCTTTTAATGCAGCCTAGCGATACTGTTAGCCTTCAGGGCTGCAAGGTGCACTGGTGGCTCATGTCACATTTTTCATCTACTGGGACCCCAACCAGAAAAGGGAGGTCCAGGAGGCCGTACACCCCTTAGTGAATGACACAGGTAGGCTGGTAACAACGGACAAGGAGAAGGCTGAAGTACCTAACAACTCTTTCGCCTCTGTCTTCGCTGATCACTGCTTTCCACGCAGCCCTCAAACATTTGGCTAAGTAGGAGAGGACTGTGGAAGCAGTGTTCCTCCCATGGTAATTGAAGATCAGATTCATGACCACCTGAGGAGCCTGAACATCCCCAAGTCTATGGGTCCCAATGAGATGCATCCTGGAGCCCTAAGGGAATTAGCTGACGTAGTCGCCACGCCACTCTCTATGGTACTTGAAAAGTTGTGGTGACTCTACCAACTGGAGTTTCTGGTGACTGGATAAAAGGCAACAACACACTCATTTTTAACTCATTTTTAAGAAGGGTAAAATTGACATGTAGGGAACTACCATCCTATCAGTCTCACATCTGTGCCAGGAAAGATCATGGCACAAATCTTCCTGGGTCGAGGCAACCCCCTTTACTGATACAAACTGAGGGACGAAAGGATTGAGAGCAGCCCTGCTGTGAAAGACCTGAGGGTAATGGTGGATGGAAAGTTGAACATAAGCCAACACTGTACCCTCAGAGCCCCAGAAGCCTACTGTATCCCGGGCTGTATCAGAAGTTTGGGGAAGGAGATCCCACTCTTCTACTCTGTGCTGGTGAGGCCTCACCTGGAGTACTGCATCCAGGTGTGGAGTCCTCAGTACTGGAGAGACAGGGACCTGTTGGAGAGCATTCAGAGAAGAGCTACGAAAATGATCCACAGTGTGGAACACCTCTCCTGTAAGGACAGGCTGAGAGATCTGGGGCTGTTCAGCGTGGAGAGGAGAAGGCTCTCAGGTGACCTGATAGTGGCCTTTCAGTATCTGTAGGGGAGCTACAGGAAAGAAGGGGACAGACCCTTTAGCAGGGTCTGTGGTGACAGAACAAGGGGAAATGGCTTCAAGCTCAAAGGGGTAGATTTATGTTGATATAAGGAAGAAGTCTTTTACAGTGAGGGTGGTGAGGCACTGGAACAGGTTACCTAGTGCTGCAGTGGGTGCAGGCTCCATTCCTGAAGATTCTCAAGGCGAGGCTGGGTCAGGCCTTGGGAAACCTGATCTAGCTGTGATGTCCCTGTTCATTGCAGGGGAGTTGGACTAACTGACCTTTAAAAGTCTCCTCCAATTTTAAGGATTCTGTGATTCTGTGATTCTATGATTGCAATCCTATCTGGAAAGCAGGAATACCTGTCTGTAGACAGAGAAAACATTGTTACTTCTTCTGTGACCTGCCAAAAAGGATCCTATATTATGGCAGGATTTGGTATGTGCTTCCCAAACAGGGATCAGAAAACACTGTAAGAGGTGAGTATTGAAGCATGCATCTTAAACACGCAGGAGAGAACAAGAGAAGCTATACTCTTTTGCAGCAAAGGTGTTGGAGATGGACCTGTATGGAGGAGCAGTTGTGCTGACGGTGCCGTGCAGTCACTGGAAGCACTGGCTTCATTTTAGGATGACGTCTGAGATCAGTAAGGCTGGTGAAAATGCAGTTTTGCCATGCACCTGCATGGATTTTGGCACCAGTCTCAATTTTGTTCCAACAACAACCCACCTGGCCTGTAGAAGGATTCACCAAATCCATAGAGAAAAAAGGGGATATAGAATGGAATAAGCATCCCTTGAAATTCAGATCCCATCTTCCTCAGAATAGGAGTTTTGTCACGTGCATGTTTGGCCACAAGGTGCCGTTGTCAGAGAGAAAGTTGATTCGGGAGCTTGTAGATGAAATCAGAATCTCCCAGCTCCCTGTTCTGGGAACACTGCAAGGAACTGTTGTTGCACTGTCAAGCGGAAGCTGTGTAGCATTGGACTTGAAGCCACAACACAGTCCAGGAATTTTCCCAGCTGCATGCATGCTGGTTTTTGTTTGCTTTTGCACATCAGACTCAACAGAGAAGCTGATATCTCTCTTAGGCAGGTGGGAGCAGGTAGTAACAGGTCAGGAACAGTTTCAGAGAGGGAGGCTGTTGTTCTTAGAGCAGTTATCCTATGGGAGTCACTCTTCCCTTGTAA